CCTAGTACTCAACGTATGGGATTTTATAGTTGTGCTTGAACATATCTGTGCTTGAGTGTTTGGCTGCTAGGACCATAGGCATCCTGACAAGATATACAGGCCTGCTGAATTAACTGTTCCAAATGGCTAATAAGCTTATGCGATGAGCGTTTGGAAAAGGAATTATTATAGAGATACCTCAATGAACAGACACCCCAGGGAAGCAAGTTCCTTCCTAATGCACCTGGCCACATACTGAAGGGTAAAGAATCCTACAAGACATGGAGTGTGCTGGTCTGCAGCCCTCAGGCAGGAGAGAAGTCAGAATTCTTTCCTGATCACCATGGAGCATATTCTCAAAAAGAATGGTCCCAGAACGCTTTCTATTCTGCACTTAAGTATCCAATGTCATCTCTATACCTAGTCATAGCATTCTTTAGGAAATAAAAGGCAGGTCTGGAAAATCTCAGTAATTTCTGCAGCAAAAGCCAACTCTTTGGACAAACAGTATCTTGGTGATATTTAGCTGCAGCTAACAGACTGTGATAAGAACATGAGACTTATTTTAAAGTGAATCACTTATGTCCTAAAATGGCCAAAGGAATTTTTTCAACCATCGGAAAAACACAGGAGTATAATGTAATGGTTTTAGAGTCTTAGTATGTGTAAGTATCATTCTGGGGTAGAATGCAAAAACCCACCCAGGTGAATTGGATTCCTGAAAAGTATAACCTCCCAGTTTGACTTTTCTGGAAACCACAGTATAAGAGAAACATTACTAAAATAGAAGTCAGGTCCTAATCTAGCTTAAAGATTAATTAGTTGTGAAATAAGTCACTTAACCATTCTGAAACCATCTCCTATAAAGTAAAAATGTTGAGACTGCAGAGTCTTTAAGGTCCATTCAAATTCTAAAGGTCCCAGAGGTACGACAAGCTCCATGTCTCCCAACTCAAATTAATGTCTGATGCTATTCCTGAAGCTTTTATAACAATAATAGAGAACCAGAAACTGTGTCTTGACTTAGGAACCACCATATGCCACTGGCTACTTAAAGATATGGAAATGCAAAGCTGTACTTTGTGTGTGCCAGGTCCTGTTCTAAGTCTTTGATATATATTAACTCACTGACTGGGGGTGGAAAAGAAGGCAACAAAAGGTAATCTGAGAACCCTGAAACCCGTAATGTAAGAGGGGATAATGTTGAATATTAAATTGTGACTAGTATTAAAGCGTCGGCAATACTTAGTAACTAAACCACAATCATAAAATGCTGATAAAATGACTAATGAGAATAGGCCATGGTATGTGTAAGTGAATGACCTGGTCTCCTAAACTGTGAACAATTTTCAACCCAGTGAAGAAGTATCTCCTTGGACCACCCATCGTCTATTGAGAAACCTGCAACATTTAACACATACCTATATTTTCTCAGAGAATATATGCAAGCATTCATCTTGATACTAATTCCTTTATGAACCACGATTTCTAGCATTACTGACCTCTCAGGTAAGGGTCTGTCTACAGCACGATGCTCAAACAGGTGAAGGAATGCAAAATTCCTTACATACTTGGTAGTGCCACACTCAGCAGAGGGCTGTATGCACTTTGACACTTCGGTGCTTAGAGAAGGTGACGGAACAGGGAGAGTCCTTTAAGAACTCTGAATGGATTCCTCATTTACATTTACTAGGATATTGCCATAAATGCACCACCGTTCCAGGCTTTCAAGACAGTAACATAAGATATACAACTTCTGTTTTAAAACTGGAAGAGGATGATTCAGTGAAGCAATGACTGGCCTGTTCCCAAGGTCAACACACAGCCTGGGCATGTGTCAGAAAGATAGGATTAAATAATATTAAACTAATTCCACTCCACCCTCCACTACAACCTCAAGCTCACTCTTTCAGGGTGAAAAGTAACCCTTTTCAGACTACGAACACACAGTCAAGGGTGTTAAGGCCAGAAGGTAGAGGGAGTTAAGAAAGCCACGCTCTGGAGAGGCTAAGTCAAAAAGCTAACTCAGGAGAGACCCAGAAGCAAACCCTTTGCCTTCCAACGTGCAGTCTAACACCAAGTGTTTCCACCACAAAACGAACAGAACAATGTGGGAAAGAAAACAAGTGTACTTGCTTCTCCTTCTTTTCTTTTTTTTTTTTTTAAAGATTTTATTTATTTATTTGACAGAGACACAGCGAGAGAAGGAACACAAGCAGGGGGAGTGGGAGAGGGAGAAGCAGGCCCCCCACCGAGCAGGGAGCCCGATGCGGGGCTCGATCCCAGGACTCTGGGATCATGACCTGAGCCGAAGGCAGATGCTTAACGACTGAGCCACCCAGGCGCCCCTGCTTTCTCCTTCTTTTCATCCATTGGCGCACAAGCATTCTCTAGGCCAGGGGCCCACGCCTGGTTTTGTGTAGCCCATGAAAAATCCCAAGAGTAGGTTTTATATTTTTAAATGAGCAACAAAAAAATTGTTCAAAAAGGAGTATTTCATGGCCCGCACATTACGTGAAGTTCAAATTTTAGGGTCTACCAATAAAGTTTTATTGGAACGCAGTCACGCTCTTGTTTACATGCAGCCTGTGGCTACTTTCACATTAAAACAGCACAGCTGACGAGTCGTGACACAGCCTGTCCCACAGAGCCTTAAAATACTCACTCTCTGTCCTTTACCAAAAGTTTGTGGACTTCTTGGAAACCTACACAGTGAATACAGTATATGAAGAGTTCAACGGGAAAGAAAAACGAGAACGTGAGACCCGGGGAACGTCCCAGTGTGTGCTCACGATTTATCCTTTCACTTCACAGCAAACAGGGCAAGTGCTGCAGAACAACAGGGAGGAGAGGTAAGCGGTCAGACATCACATCAGTACAACAACGCTGTGAGCACACACCCCGGCACTTGCTGGACCTGAGGACGCAGGGACACAGGTCTTCTCCAACTCTACCAAGTGGAGGCAGACACATCGCCGAAGGCACCAGTACTTCCCAACAACCAACAGGTCACGGACGCCCAGGGCCACTCCTCAGAAGCCCTGCTCATAGAGCCTGCGGCCGTCAGCAGGGACGTCCCTGCTGTGTCGGCAGAAATCCAGCTCCTCGCTCTCATTCTGGCTGCGTCTGACCTCGGGCTGGTCATGGCACTCTCTGAGGGTCTAAGCCTTTCACCTGGAAAATGAGACATGCTGACCGACCAGAGGGGCATTCTCTCTCTCAACTCCTCTAAAACCAGAGGAAAAATGAGAAAAGAGAGAGAGAGAGAGAAAAAAAAGGTAATGTTTTGTTTTCTTCTTTATAATAGACACGATAAAACTGGGATAGAGGTAACCCTCATGGGAAAGGAAAGGGTCTATAACCAAGCAGCAGGCTGTCTTCAGTGACAGTAATTAGTACTATGTTAGGATGGAAGACTAAGAAACAGGCATTTGAATTCAAGGATGTGAGTTTGTTCCTTCCCTTTTTTCGGGGCTCCTGGAAACAAAGACACACATGTACCCATGCAGGGTGTGTTCTCTTTTCTTTCCCCAGGGACAAGAGCGACATTTGTCTGAATGCTGCTTTTGCTCTACAAGTAGCCGCCCAGGCATTAGTCATGAACATCATCTGTAATGAGGAGCGGGTTACAACAGTCTGCACCTCCCTACCACTGGACTCCAATAAAATGAAGTTTGTTTATCACAGTTCATACACTTGGAACAGTTTGGAAGGGTACAGTTCTGTTCACCTACTGAGGCAACTTTAAGAAAAAAGTACCACGTAGCCCTCTGAAGAGCAAAAACAGGGCCTTGTCAAGTCTAGACAAAGAAGATTGATTTTCTGAGGGGAAATATGATTTAGTCTTAGAAACTTGATTTTCAGCTTCCAAAGAGTTTTTTTACCTTTTTTTTTTTTTAATTAACTAGCAAGGACTCTAAAGCTTAGAGCACTGTTTCTTTCAACAAGTTTGTTTCATTGTTTTAAGTTAATAGCTTTAAACAAAAAGAATCTCAAGAACCTGAAAAAAAAAAACATTTTTGAAAACTTACTCAATATTAAACATAGAATTACCAGTGACCCAGCAAATCCACTACTGGGTATATGAAAACATATATCCACACAAACTTGTACACAAAGGTTCCTAGCAGTATTATTCATAACAGCCCAAGAGCAGAAACACAGAGATCAATACTCCATACGATGGAGTATTACTTCGCAACGAAAAGAAACAAACTATTAACCAACGTTACAACATGGTTCAACCTTGAGACAGTAAACTAAGTCAGAAAAACCTCTTGTGAAAGACCACATAGTTCTATATAATCCCATGTGATGTTCCAGAATGGGCAGATGCTGGAGACAGATGGGAGATGAGGGACACCCAGGAGCCGGACAGTGGGGAGGGATGGGCTGCTAATGCATATGAGGTTTCTTTCTGGGGTGATGATAACGTTCTGACATCAGTGGTGACCAGTGCTCTGAAATCTACTGAAAACGACTAAACTGTGCACTTAAATGGGTGGATTTTACGGTGTGTGAATCATAACTCAATAAAGCTGTTAGGAAAAAAAAAACTAGTGAACTTTTTTTGTCACTAAAAATGACATGCTGCACATTTTAGACAGCTAGTAGTGAACTCTAAGTTAAAATCTCATTTTTTGCTATCAGTTTCTATATAAAGAAAGAGCAGTCAGGTTTAAGAAGGGTTACTAGATCCCTTTTTGTGGTAACTCTCATTTTGCGACACGTTAAACACGATGACAAACTCAAGTCCAGTGCTCACAGGGCAAATCTTTTTCATTACAATCTCCAAGGGACCCATGCAGAAGGGCCCATTCCAAAACCATGCTGGGTGGTGCATGCTGTGTATGAAAGCTGAACGCAGCAACACAGCCATATCTACACGTGATGGGACAAGAGAAAAGGGGGTTAATACTACTGTTAAAAAGTTCCCCTAACAAACAAACAAAGGCCACAAATCAGACACAAGAGACCAGGCTAAACACATTTTGTGCTCCTACAGACTTAATGCCACTTACCGCCCGGGTCGCCAGGCCTTGCTTCACGTCAGGTGTGGTGGCTGGGTCTCCCACTCCTATGGCCACCTCTGCAGAAGCCGAGCTCGCCCTGGTATTACTCAGGAAATCCACTTCGTCTGCAGCTTTCAAGTCTGGCATTTCTGAAGAGAACAAGGGGGTTATAAAGTGCGTCTGAAAAATCAGTTCCTGTGTCTTAGCATTTACACAACACATCCAGGCTTCACATGTTTTGTTTGCTTTTGCTTTTGTGTTAAATGGGAAAGTGTTCATTTGGAGCTGGTGTCATTTCGGGCTCCGTGCTGAGCTATTCCTTTATCACAAGGTCCACATGGTTTTCCCCTAGCCTCTGTATGGATTTGTAGCTAAGGAGACATGCACTTCAATGTCTACTGAACTTCCATTTTCACTACTGACTTTTCCTGACAAACCCTTGAGTGTGGTGCTGACTGCATATGGAAAAGTAAATTCACAAGCTTTAAGGAAACAGATTAACAGCTGAAGCTAACTAGTCCATCTTGATCACCATCAAAGAAGCCAGAGATGTTTATATTTGCACAGGACAAAGAGGAAAGATCTGTCGAGAATGAGATAAAACCTTTAAGAAGAGTCTTTCTTTAAAAACATACTGCACACTCTCATCTAACCATCACTGCAACGGACAAGGCTGGAGTATTCTAGTAAATAATATATTTTTTATATTTTAATTTTTATTTCTTCCCCAACCAAAACAATCACAAACAAGGAATTTTTTTTTTTTTTTAAGATTTTTACTTTTAAGTAATCTCTACACTCAACATGGGGCTCGAACTTACAACCCTGAGATCAAAAGTCATACACCCCACCGACTGAGCTAGCCAGGCACCCCAAGGAACTCCTTTTCTTAAGAAAATGTTTTTATATGTTTTCTTTAGAATTATACTCACTAGACCAAACAGTAGTGGTTTTTGTTACCTGACCACCATATGGTCAAGCAAATACAGGAAGGAAGTGATAACTTGATGTCTGAGGCAAATTTAAGCTTTGACTTTTTTTTTTTTTTAAAGGGGGCTGATGATTGAATGTTTAAAATTCACCTTGATAATACAAACGAAAATAGAACTATCATCTCAATTTCATGTGGAAACTTTTCCGTGGACGGTTTTAATCTCGTCATACCACTACTCTAGCAGAAAAGAATGTTCCACACACCAAAGGACAGAGCAGTTTCTTTCGCTAAAGAATCGAGTTTATTCTAACAGCACATTGTGACATGCCCAAAGGTCTACATCAGGTTTAGGAAAGTTACATTCCTACGGATGAGCATTCATAAATTCCCTTATTTATAATTATACAATCTTACTAGCAATTTAAAAGTGGGCAAACAAGTTTCCTTGCCCAAAGTACCAAATCTATGTTACATTTCATAAAATGTAAATAAAGTTAAAAAAAAAAAATCTAAGCAATCACCTTAGAAGTGCTCACTGATCAAAACATTTCTAAATAAGAGTAATTTTTCTGGGTTGTTGATGCCTTCTATTTTATTTATTTGGGGATGTGATTTTTGGCACAACCTTATTATCCTATACCCAGCACGTGAAAATACGTATCTTGGCAAGCAGCAACCAATCACGACCGTGAACAGTGATTACTGAGCCACGAGGGGCACCAACAACCTCTGCGGACCTGGCCTGGCTCAGTCATGGACAACTAACTTCCCAAACCACTGTGATGGATGCGCAGGATGAGTGAAGGGCCGCATCCCTTCCTTCTGATTTGTGTTTTCTCATGTTGATTTCTATTTGGCCGCATCTACAAACAGCAGCCAGTGCCATGTGGCTCCTTCCAAGTGAGAGGTTACACCCAAGTCTCTTCACTCATAAAACAATATGGTTAAATCCATTAATGGAAGGTAAACTTCCCAGAAATTACCCTTTGGCTGAGATAACACTCAGGTGCTTTTCCTCTAGGGCAATGTGACCTGGGACTTTCCCTGATTCTGCCTTTTGTTTTTTTTCCCCTGAAGAAAGCACCTATTTCTTGGTCACTGGCTACTTCTCTCTGTAACATAAGACCATGAGCACTGAACACACATGACCCTTCTTGGTAGCAGAACAAGTAACTCGCCCACACACATCAACCAACCCTAAACCCACAGATACGGCTGAAACTTCATACAACTCGTTTTCCTTCCTAAAACCTTAAAATCTTAAAAATCATTTCTTAGCATCTATACCTTATCTACATACTACTAAAAATCAAAGTCTGAAATTCTTCCCGTTTTTCACCTTTTCTCTCTGGGTATCAGAGACCCAAACTTCACATAATTTGCACTTGCTTGGGTTAAATTCGGACTACTGAGCCAGAAAGACAAATAATTCCAGCCCATGTGGCCAGAGACACAGCACCCAAATGAAAAGAACACAGCCAGGCATCAGCTTACAGCCACTCCCATTCTTCTGAAATGTCAACCTGCCAGAGCCCCCAAAATAGACTTGTTGTTGTATCTTATTTTAAAAATTTGAGACCTTTTCATTTAAATCCTGAGACAGCAGCCAACAAACTTCTAGCACTAAACAATCCAAAACACGAATAAAACTAAAAACCTCAAGTCACCAAAAACACTATAGTACCTAAGGCTTCTTAAATGCCTCAACTGGAAAAAAAAATCATACATGGTTAAAAACCCTTTATCGAGGGCTGGGGTGGGGGTAGGACCACTGTGTTTAAGTTGCTCTTTTTCCTAAGCAACTTCTTTTCTGGTTCTATTTGTTCATTTCTCTACATGCCCCACCCCCACACTTTTAACACACACTACACTTAGGGAGATTTTCAAACATTGGAAGAGCAGCAAAAACAAATGACCGATAAGAACAATCAGGCTACTCCTTACCCACACAGCCTGGGGGTGAGCATGGAGACTGGCCCTCTGTCTGCACCTGGTGACAGGTGGTGGCATCAAAGTACGAATCGAACTGACCTGTAACGATTCAGGAGTCAATACCACCTCGGACTCCAGCTTCGGCTTGAGCCTCAACCCCCAGGAGGAAGTTTTATTCACATGGTGTATTTCCCCCAAGCCAGAGCGGTTTCTCTTCTCTCTCTCTGCACATGGTTACCCACAGATGGAACAGGCCGCTGTGTGAGCAATCTGCTCCGCGCAGCTGCTTCACGGAGATAAGCAGACACAACGTGTGTCCTGTCACAGCAGCTGAGCAGACCTGGGCGGACACCCTGCATCCCGTCCCCAGCACTGCGCACGGTCCCGAATTCCCAGACTGCTGCCCAAAAGCAACAGGCAATGGAACTGGAAGTCGGCTCCGCGGGCAGGAAAAGGAGGGCATTCTCTCTGCTCCCCTCCCCCGCCCCGTCCCGTCCCAGCCCCCGCCCTCCCCAATGACCTAATACCACCATTTTGGATGTAGGGTCATTCGCGTAGAACGACACTTAGAGCTGTTTCATGTAACCACCCTGACTCTAAATTTGCTCAGAATACGGACTAGGATGACAGGGGTAAAAAAGTGTTCCAGGCTTATAAGCAAAACATACTTTTTCAGCACTGCTTTTCACGGTTCTAGAAAAAAGGACCAAGCCATGTGAATAAAAACATCTGCTAAATTCCTTTATCATTGTAGAGCACCTGCGATCGAGACCATTTTCTCGGTTAGCAAAATTGCCACTGCTCTGGGGTGGCAGACGGAGCATTTACAGGCTTAATCAATCAAGCCCGGAGTCTACAATACAGGAAGCAAAATCTGTCCAACCCTGAGGGGACGGATTGGGTTGGACAGATTTTGCTTCCTGTATTGTAGACACCCCTCTCCTGATGGGGTGACTATTAACTTGGCAACTTACCCAATGAATGAAAAGACGCTTCTAAACCACAAAGACGCCTCCTTTTTATACCAGCATATCTCCGAGGCTCTTAAAGGAGTTTGTCCCTCAAACTGTTACTTCTGTATTCTGCTTTGCTTACCTGTTGCTGGCTCAGATCCTTCAGCGGGCAGAACCATCTTCTCTGGCTCCTCCTTTTCAGCCAAACCCCTTGCAAGGTTGCCAGGGGCTTCTTCAGAGATACTGCCCATGTGTGGGGTTCGCCCAGGCAGAAAAGTGCTCCCTTTCCCTGCAGAAGCGCTCTCTGGCTGCCCAGTCACCGGGCCAGACTCTGAAGGCTTGGACAGTGACGTGTGACCGATCCCCAGACCAGTGATCAGTGCTCCTGAGTACTTGACTTGGTCTAGGACGGCCTCCACTATGCGACTCGCAGCCTCCTCGATGGAGTCTGCTCTCTCGGGCAGAGACACAGCACAAGGTAGAGGGGGAGCGCCCCTTGCCCTGTCTGGGGCCTGGTCACCATTGCTTGAGAGTCCGGTCTCAGTGAGGAGCTCTCTGGCAAGAGGCTGCTGTGGGACTCGATGTGTGTCAGCATCCACCTGCTGCTCCCTGGAGTCGGCCACGCCACAGCTGTGGGCTGCTTCTTTCCAACTGAGAGGTACCATCTCTGGAGCTGCAGTGCCCCGTAGGTCAGTCACTCCTTTGTCTGCTGAAGTTCCTGGCAAACCCAGGATCATAATCTTCTCCTGGCTCAAGACTTTGGAAATCGGGAGGTCTTGGGCGTTGTGTGATACAGCCTTTGTTCTGGCCCCAACAGTATCTTGTAAAGCACTAACCACGGCAACATCCAACGCCACACTTCCGCTCACCTCACCAGCAGTGTTTTTACCTTGGGATTCAGGGTTTTGCACTCCAACATCCAGAGCAGAAGATCGATTGCCAGGAAGAGCCTCTGACCCATCTGGTAACAGACCTGGCAACGGAGTTGAGCTGCTCTGCTCTGCACCCAAGGCTTCCTGGCGTGGGCCTGCAGCCAGACTTGCTCCCAGTGGCACCAGGCTCTGTGCAGCCCCACCTTCAGTCAGCAGCGAGACTGGTGGGGCCACTTCCTTGTTATGCTTAGTTTCTGCGTTCAGACAGGCCGAGGGTGTGCCCGGTGAATTATGGCGCTCAAGTGCTCGGTCCTCAGCACAGGCGGCTAAGCTAGGCTCTCCACAGAATCGCAGTGCCTCCTGCCCAGGAGGTGGTGGTCTCTGCTCTTCCTGAAATGTTCCTGAGGAACGAGTATCTTCCTTAACAGAGGAACAAGTCACTTCTTTATCCCTGCCATCTTGTCCCTGAGCTTCAGAGCATTCTGGAACCACACGATTTTTTCCTTGTTCAGTCAGAATGGAATCAGAGGCCACAGTGGCCTTCCCCGCACGCAGCAGAGAAGAGTCAGCGCCCCCCTCAATATCCAGGACTTCAGGGGCTGCTGAGAGGCAGGGACCCCCATGTTCCCCACCAAGTCCCATGGGACTGGTATTCCCCATGCTGGGCTGAAGACGGAGAGCAGCAGAGGGCGCAGATAGGCCTGTGGCACCGTCTTCTAATGGTTGCTTATCAGGATCGCTCGAATCTCTGCCTGGGCCATCTCTACTATCTGCAGCTGTGTGTAGTTCGGGCGTTGCTGTTCCCTTTTCTTTCTGGGAGGGGACAAGAGAAAGTGTGTCATCTTTGGTTACTGATTCACTGCCTGGACTGCTTGCCAGAGAAGTCTCGTCTGATGTCACTGCCTGGTCCGGCACCGCTTCTTTCTCGGCTTTGGGGACAGCTGCCTGTGGAGGCACCTCAAGCATATTTGTTAAAGCTGTTCCTAGGTTCAAATCTTTTCCCTGGCCCTTTGTATCCGAAACTTCAAGAAGACAAAATTCCACCTGTTCCTGGGTGTCTAATCTTAGAGGGCCAGGGGTGGCTGTGTGAGCCTGTGGACCTGCACAGCAGAAGACCAGGGGGGGATGCTGTGTGGGGGGCAGTCCCGAGCCGCTGCTCTCAGGCCGGGTACCTAGGCCATCACAGTGTCCCGCGGCCAGCATGCCACCAGAAGTCCCTGTGCTCTGCCCACAGGCAGGGGTGGCACACACAGTGTCCCCTCCGGCTGTAGAACAGCTCTGAATGGGAGACGAATCAGGTTCTGGTTTCTGGGTTGGCGCATCTTTTCGGGACCCGGAAGAGGTCAGAGCAGAGGGTGGCGCTGCCTCACTTGTATCTGCCCAGGGAGCAGAAGGATTGAGCCTGCCGGAAGCCGTGTCTCCTGCAGCAGCTGGAGCTACCAGGGAGCTCTGATCCACAGGAGCCCCAGCACCCCCTTCACAACTTCCTGAAGCTTCTGTTTCTGCAGTTTTCACAGGGCAGGCTTCTTCCTTGCTAGACGCAAGCAAAGACTCAGCAGGTTTGTTACCATCCAGGGAGCCGGGGGCAGAGACACAGCTTGGAACAGCGGCTTTATCTGCAGGCTGTCTTGTGACTTTTACATCAGAGACTCCAGCTGTGCTGACACTCAAGTTCTCAAACTTTTCCTTTGTATCTTCCCTTACCTCAAGCACATCCTTCTGGATGGCGGCGTCCGAGCTCAGGAGACCACGTTCTGTCTCCCCTGCAGTCACTGGGACGCTGACTGCCAGGTCACCTCCAAAGAAATGTGGAGTGGGAGCGGTGCCCAGCTGCATGCCCACGTCTCCCTGCAGAACACTGTCTCCAGGGCTTGGAGACTCCTGCTCTGGGGACCATGCAGAAGATTTTGTTCCAGTTTCTCCATTTCTGATTCCACAGGATGGAAAGTCTCCTGTGCCCTCTCCTCCACAAGCAGGCGTGCTCCCCAGGCAGCTGCTGGGATCAGACACCGTTCCACAGTCTGCAGTCAGTGATGGCTCCGCCTCTTCCCCGGCTCTCCCCACACCTTTAGTTCCCTTCTCACAGGAACAGTCTGTATTCTCTTCCTCAGCCACACCTGACAAATTGGAGGAACTTTCCATCCCCCCCACAGTGCTCCCATAGCCGCATGGAGGGTGCTCAGGGTCTCCCGGAAGAGACGAGCGTGGCTGGCCGTCCCCAGGATCCGATGTGCAGCCAAGAAACTGGCCATCTGGGTCTTGGGCACTGGGCAGACTTGAAGGATCCTGTGCCGCCACCATTAAGGGCACAGGATTGTCCATCTGCTTAAGGTTTGTTTTCTAGGAGGAAATGAAAGATAGTTGTAAAAGCTGCCCATGGGAAAAGATGTCACTGACACCCAGAAGCAAAACTCCTGCCAGAGAGAATTTGCTGCCATTCCAAGCCCTCCTAAGATCAGATGAAAAGCTGATCTCAAGAAATATAAATACAGGGGCGCCTGAGTGGCTCAGTTGTTAAGCATCTGCCTTCGGCTCAGGTCATGATCCCAGGGTCCAGGGATCAAGCCCCACATCGGGCTCCCTGCTCCGCGGGAAGCCTACTTTTCCCTCTCCCACTCCCCCTGCTTGTGTTCCCTCGCTCACTGTGTCTCTATCAAATAAATAAAATCTTTAAAAAAAAAAAGAAAGAAAGAAAGAAAAAGAAATACAAATACATTTTCTCTTGTTCCTGAAAGCACTTTCCTCTCTTGTAGCTACGTATCCACTGGAATGATAAAATGGTCAAGAATATACAACATGGCTGTCTCCTAAATTATGAACTTATTTTAGAAAGGTGACCCTCAAAAACTTTATTTTACAAAAGCACAGTGACTACCTTCAGCTAAGAAAGATATTTTTATAGGGTCTTGAGAGGAGTAGAGGTGCTTCCATTCCACCTCATGTATATGAGTAAAAGAAGTCCTAACCAGTGTGGTCAAGTCTTGTCAATTGCAAGGTGCAGGCTATGTGCCTGCACCTGAAATTCTTATTGAGGAGTTACACAGTGTCCTTTAACACCCCCAGGGAGGCTCCACTCAATCTAGCTTACCACTTTTCTTGACGGGTTCATAATTTCAAGAACAGTGGCATGGCAGATAGTCTTTTGTTTTGAAAAAAGTGGTTCCTCTGTTGTCTAGTATTGAATATGAAATAAGATCCAATTCCTGATAATTCTTAGATAGCACTGTGGCTTGAGGATACTACAGGTCATGTCAAAACTGCGTTTTGCAACTTTACAGTATTTTAAAAAACAAACAGATATTACCAACTACATGGGAGTGGTTAAAAAAATCATGGCTGGTCAACCTGATGGCAAGGCCATGCTGTTAACTATGAAGACCATGGTAAAGGCTAAAATACAGATTTATGACACAACGCTGAAAAAAATGGATAAAACCTAGGGTTAATCTAAGGTCATAAGTATGCAAAATTTACATGTACATGTAGACAAGGCTTAGGAAAAATGGAAAAGACCAAATACAGCTCATCTTTACGGTGGGTTTGCCTTTCTAACAAGATTTCAGAAATTCTTACAATACTACAATACTACAATTTGCTCAACAAATAAAAATGATTTTTAAAACATGTTTGCTCTTCCCCATTCTCTGACCTACTGCGATAAGCTCGTGCATATCTACTGTGCACTGTCCTCGTTCACTTACTCCCTCAGAATACTTCTAGTTCTCCAACATCAGACTAGTCCTGTTTACCTACCAGGTCTATTGTAAAAGTTTACATGTATGAGCATACAATGTGTTGTGCTCAACTAAAGTCTTTCTACTAAGAGAGTACAAGAAAAACGGACTTTCACTAAAAGCTCTGCGCTGTGCTCCATAGAGTGTTCAAATCTAGCTTGTTCCCGTTCCCGTGAGAGTACACCGTCTCTTAAAGATCATGAAAGCAGGTCATTCCATTTAATAAAGAACAGAGATTCGGGGAAACAAGTGTTGTTTTAGAAGCTCCTAACACACGCATCCTGTCAGAGTTTTAACTTCTCAGTTTCCTGTCAAATATTCCCATATCGTGCAGTAACTCCAGCACCTGCAAGCTGGTATTTTCAACTGGACTAGTAAGAAGAGCTCCAAGGGAAAAATCGGGCTTCTTGGCAAGCCGTTCAGAGGAAAAGAAAAGGACACCTGTCCTGGCACAAACACGACTGAGAAAGGGAAAGGTGGGCACATCACACACCCCTGCTGTAAAGTGTCTTGGCCTGGTGGCCTCCAATATAATGCCTGCTCCCTGCTCTTAACTGGTACTCTTATGACTTTCCTTCTGGTACTGAGCTGACCCTAGGTGACCTTAAATGAAATTACTGTCAAGCTTTTTCCAAATCAAATCAGCTCTGAAATAAACTGGGTGGAAAAATTATCTAAACTTAGCCTTTCAGATGTTATGGCCAAGAGACATGTACCCATATGACGTTTATATTCTCCATAATAAATGCTACCAGAGAGTCTGTAATGTTTTTACGTCTGGCAACAACTTTATCTTGAAGGCTTGAGTGGATTATAAAATCTTTATTTTTTTAGTGATCTTTTTACCATACAACTATCAATTTAAATATAGTAACATTATCATCACTCATTGAAATAGTTGTGAAAAGGCTTTATTTTTAAGTAAATGTGGTCCTGGTTCTTTAGCAACAATCTCAGAAACTGTTTTGCTCATTTAGCTTTATAAAGCTAAACTGACAAATTTATAAACAGATGAATTTCCTTTTATGCCAAGAAAATTGAGTTCTAGTTGTTGCATATTTCTGTATCTGCAGTGTGTATGTGTATCTTCCATTATTTCAAAAACCTGGCAAAAAAAAAAAAAGAAAAGAAAAATTCCCAGTCCCCTGTTGCTGTTCTGTGTCTATAACATCTAATGCTGCTAAAACTGCTTTAGGTATCACAGTCTTTGAAGAAAGCATTTCTAAGTTCTAATTATAGGAAGGTTCACTGGGAGAAAGAGCAAGGGCACAAAAGTCTGAAAATGGACATTTTCTTCCTTACCATTAGCTGCTGTTGGATGTTCATAAGTTTAAAAATATGTCCAGTGCAACGGTCTCCAGGAGATGGGGCTTCATGATGTGATTCGGACTCAGAGGTTAAAGTATAGACGTCCAACTCTCGATGATGTCGCACAGAACAGTCTCCATACGGGATTTCATAGGATAAACTGCTCCAGGAGTCTGGTTCCCCAGCATTCTCTCTGTAAGCAAGCAGTCTCCGGTTAGTCTACATACGCTCTGCTCCCTCACCCCTGGCAGGGCTCTTCCCTCTCAGTCTTACCCCACTGCTCTGGAGGCTCTGCAGCAGAAATCTGGTTTGTAGAGTTCCCCAGTGACCCAGGCATATAAGTAACTGTTCCATCCACCTCATAAGAGGTCACAAATGGATTAAATGAAAACGGCAGGATTCCTCCCTAAGAATGTTCTTTTGATCAAGATAAAGAGAGGTCTGGGAGCTTAAAATAGTTAATATTATGCTAACACCCAACTAATGAGGAAATGTAAGGAGGATGGTCTTAGCTTGGTTTTCAACAGAAGCAGGGCTTATATTAAGCACTTCTCTTAAATTGGGTTGTACCATATGCTAACTGCAGTCGATCATATTGGGAAGAAGGAATCACTATAACCCATGCAAGGGCACTCCAACTTTCATTAACAACTCTCAAGGTCAACTATGCAAAGACTACGATCCCATATCATATCATACTCGTCAATACAATTATGAAGAAGCGCTTGGTTCTAAGAACTTCAGGTTAACATTTTTTTAATTTAAAAAAATGAATGACCTTGCTCAGCTAATATCATCATAAACATACCTCATCTACAAATACAACCAACAAAGGCACAGATATGTAAAGAAACATTTCTGGGACAGGCCTCAAAACAGGAAATCTCTTTATGAACCAGGAGATTGGTAAAGTATCCCAGAGATTCTGGAAGGAGGAGGAAGGTGATGTTTGAGATCATTATGTTTTAAAATGGAAGTAAAACAGAATCAAGCACGAAGAAATAACAGACATGCTACACACTGACAAAAAGGACAAGGAAACCCTCTGTGCAGTGTTTTATTTACTAAATCATACCTGTCTGTCAGAACAACTCACCACACAGTAACTGGAATTTGAAACTAACTATATGCTATATTATGAAGCCTAGAACTGAGTAATCGTGCGCTGGCTGAAGGTAATGATGAAGGCTGTTCTGAAAGGAAACTACTGTAACGTCCATTCTTGAGAGTGACACCCCAGCAGCTGCTGAAAATGAACCTAGCATACACTATGCTCAATCTTTTACGTATTTACCAAGCTGCTCTACTGGGTGTAAAGTGACCTCAAGTAGAAAAGTACAGCTGACTCTTGAGCAACACAGGTTTGCACTGCATGGGTCCATTTACACACAGATTTTTTTTTTTCTGCTCATAAATACAGTAGAGTTCTGTAAACGTATTTTCTCTTATGACTTTTTTTTTTAAGATTTTATTTATTTATTTGAGAGAGACACAGTGAGAGAGGGAACACAAGCAGGGGGAGTGGGAGAGGGAGAAGCAGGCTTCCCGCTGAGCAGGGAGCCTGATGTGGGGTTCGATCCCAGGACTCTGGCATCATGACCTGAGCCGAAGGCAGCGCTTAATGACTGACCACCCAGGCGCCCCATTTCTTATGACTTTCTTAACTAACATCTTTTCTCTGGCTTACTGGATTGTAAGAATACAGTATATAATACACGTAACACAAAATTCATGTTAATTGGCTGTTTAATGTTACTGGTAAGGCTTTCAATCAACAGCAGGCTATTAAGTTTTGGGGGAGTCAAAAGTTATATTCGGATATTTGCTGGCGCAGGGGGTTGGCACCCCTAACCCTCCCATTTTTCAAGGGCCAATTCTACTTGTAAGATAGTCACTTAAAAGTTCAACTGAATGACTCAACTAAGAAGCCAATCAGCTACACCAAATGAGGGGGGACGCAGCTTCTCTGTAAATTCAGCTTTGAAGCTTGGGTGGACATTGCCACTAACTCTGGGTAATTAACTGTCGGACAGACATAACTAGCATACCTGATTGCTCGGATTACCACACATAGCCATACTCTAATAAAAAAAAAAAAGGCCTCTGAAAACACAACTTGATTTATATACCACCACGCCACTGTGAACCAAGTAAGAGAGGACTATCTGCCAAAGCAGGGGCAATTAAAAAGGGACACAACCCATTCCCAGCAAAATGGGAGTTTTCTACCAACCTTGCCATACTACCACTTCTCAAACTGTTCCCTTTCTACTATCTAAACCTTGAGAAATTCCCGTCTGTAACCACAAACTATTTACCTTCTACGGCTCCCAAGCTCTCCTTCCAGAGGAATGTGCTTCTGTTGCCACAATTACCCCTAAGTGCTAACCCTTCAATCTCCTAATTCCTTGTCCCTGTGAATTTGTTTTGCTTCCTAGTCTGTCTAGATACCAACGACTAGTCAATGCAATTATTCTCTTACTGATTTCATGAATATCTGGGGCAACTGACACTCTTCCAAACCCATTTTGCCTGCAGGTCTGGGTAAACCCCATCATTCAGCAAGTATTTATGGGCCAGGCAGTATTCCAGGTGCTGGTGATACAAACCAAAACTCGTAGCCTGTTGGGAGTTTATATACTTAGCAAGGGAGACAACAGCAGTCAGATTAAATAATACAGCTGCCATTTTTGAAGAGAGCCAAGTGCTACAGAGAAAAATAAAGCAAGAGATGAGATGAGGATTGAGAGCTGAGATTTTATTTTTAATTGAATTTTATTTTATTTAAATTCAATTAATCAACATATAGTGTATTATTAGTTTCCATAGAGTTCAGTGATTCATCAGTTCTATTTAACACCCAGTGCTCATCACATCACCTTCCCTCCTTAATGCCCGTCACCCAACCCTGTTACCCCATCCCCCCAACCCCCTCCCCCTCCAGCAACCCTCAGTTTGTTTCCTATACTTAAGAGTCTCTTATGGTTTGTCTCCCTATCTGATTTCATTTTATTTTTCCCTCCCTTCCCCTATGATCCTCTGTTTTCTTAAATTCCACATGAGTGAGATCATATAATTGTCTTTCTCTGACTTATTTCGCTTAGCATAATACCCTCTAGTTCTATCCACATCGTTGCAAATGATTAAGACTTCATTTTTTTTGATGGCTGAGTAGTATTCCATCGTATATATACACATCTTCTTTATCCATTCATCTGTCGATGGATATACGGGCTCTTTCTATAGTTCAGCTATTGTGGACATTGCTGCTATAAACATCGGGGTGCAGGTGCCCCTTCGGATCACTACGTTTGTATCTTATGGGTAAATATCTAGTAGTGCAATTGCTGGATCATATGGTAGCTCTATTTTCAACTTTTTGAGGAACCTCCATACTGTTTTCCAGAGTGGCTGCACCAGCTTGCATTCCCACCAACAGTGTAGGAGGGGTCCCCTTTCTCCGCATCCTCGCCAACATGTGTCGTTTCCTGACTTGTTAATTTTACCATCTGACTGGTGTGAGGTGGTATCTCATTGAGGTTTTGATTTGGATTTCCCTGATGCCAAGTGATCTTGAGCATTTTTTCATGGTCTGTTGGCCATTTGTATGCCTTCTTTGGAGAAATGTCTGTTCATGTCTTCTGCTCATTTCCTGAGTGGGTTATTTGTTCTTTGAGTGCTGAGTTTGATAAGTTCTTTATAGATTTTTGGATCCTAGCCCTTTATCCGATAAGACATTTGCAAATATCTCCTCCCATTCTGTCGGTTGTCTTTTTTGTTTTGCCGACTGTTTCCTTTGCTGTGCAAAAGATTTTTATCTTGATGAAGTCCCAATAGTTCATTTTTGCTTTTGTTTCCCTGAGGGTTGCAATTTTAAATGTGGAAGGACTCATGGAGGTAGCTTTTTTGAAGATTGATTGATTGATTTAAGATAGGGAGAAAGAGAGAATGAGTGGGAGGGGCAAAGGGAGATGGAGAGAGAATCCCAAGTGGACTCTGTGCTCAGCACAGAGTCCAATATGGGGCTCAACCTCATGATCATGACCTGAGCCAAAATCAAGAGTCGGATGCTTCTGAGCCACCCAGGCGCTCCGAGGTGGCAGTTTAAGCCAGTACGTTTTGTGCTCTGTGTTTAGCACTGTATTAGACTTGTCCTGCATCCACTAACATAATGTGGCAAAGCTCTGGGCATAAGAATGTTTACTGAAACTTTCGGTATAATGGTATTAAAAACTGGATACCACCAGGTCAGTAATTAGAGGGCTGTCTGGTAAACTGAAGAACCGATCTCTGGACTATTACACAGCCATTAAAAATAACGGAAGTAACAGTCCAGTAACGCTGTAATCTACAACGTTCAGGGAAATAAGCAAAATAAAAAGGCTAAAAATTTAGGTAAGTCTAGATGGTAAAATGCACAAGTAAAAATAGCATTAGAGTGGTCGGGCTGTAGGTTTTCTTCCCCAAGATTTTAATTAATGTTTTTAACACACTTTTTAGAGTTCCCTATTGAACTAGGACTCACTGCTGCTCCGCAAGGCTTTCATCACTCGTGTGTTAGTGAAACTTTAATTTCCTCAAAGGCCCAATCTTAACTCTACTTCATTCTCAGGTGACCTTTTTGCCCTTCTTAGTGAGAAGCTTGCGGCCACCTAGCGTGAGCTAAAACAATCTTCATCCACTAGTAACGGCCTCTGCTCACCCCCTCTAACGTCAAGGATGCCTCTTCTCCACGGTGGGTTTGCTCTGCTGCCCCTGCCCTCCCAGACTGGGTAATCCTCCCCCGGATGCCTGCAGTTTTCCACACGCTTCTGGGTGAGCTCCGCACCGCCCCCCCGCCCCATGCGGTTAAAACACCAGCCGGAGACGGAGCAGTGGGTGCAGCAGAGGGGATTACTCTGCCCTGGCACCTGGGGGAAGCAATCTGCACTCACCCTGCAGACCAGGTTCTCACCAAGGAATCTGGCCCCCGGGAGGCACGGGACAACATGGAGACATTCTCTGGTGGTCACAACCCGGGCGGGGCACTTCTCCAAGGCACAGGACAGCTCCCCACCACCAGGAACGGTCACTAGTGCTGAGGCTGAGAAACCCTGCTGCCAACCCCCTGACCCACCCAGTCTGTCCCCCTCTCCCTTCCGTCTCCTTATGGTCATCCAGAAGCTTCAAGGCTCTGCAGTCTGGCTCCTCCTC